CTGGGGGCGCTCGCCTTCAGCAAGGGCCGGGGTTATGGCGGGGGGGCCATGTGAAACGGGAGCCCGGCCTCGCCCCCCCGGTGCCAGCAGCCCTGGGGAAGAGGGGGAGGAGGAGGAGGAGGCTGCTCCAACTAGGCATCCTCTCCGGCCTCGTCTCGGTCACCGCCGGCTGCGCCACCCTCCCCCTCTGGGGCGCCCTCATCGTGGGTGCGATCGGCGGGCTGGTCAACCGCGGCTTCGGGCAGCTCGTGCTGCGGCTCAAGGCGCGCGCCGCACCACACGCCCTCCTCCTCCCTCTCCTCCTCCCCAGCCCTTCTCCGCCCCCCCCCCCCCCTCTGGCAGGTGGATGACCCGCTCGAGGCGTCTTCTGTCCACGGCGCGTGCGGCGCGTGGGGCGTCATCGGCGCCGCAGCCCGTCGGCGAGTCTGCCGCGTCAAGCACGAGTCGGTGAGAGCAGCTCGCACCATCGCTAGGCGCCGCCATCTTCTCCATCGACTCGGCGACCCAGGTCGCCTACCCAGAGAGGAACGGCGGGAGCGGCGGCCTCGTCAGCGGGCATGGCGACTTGCTCGCCGTCGGCAGTCGTGCAGGCGCCCCCCCCCCCCTGCGACACAGCACGACCACCACCAGCACCACCACACGCACACACACACACACATGCTGCCCTCCCCCGTCGCCGTCGCCGTCGCCGTCGCCGTCGCCGTCGCCGTCGCCGTCGCCCGCCCCCCCCACCCCACACCTCCCGACCCGGCCTGCCCGCCCTTTGCCACGGCGCAGGTGCTCTGCATCATCTGCTGGACGGGCAGCTTCTCGACCGCCCTCTTCCTCACCCTCAAAAAGTTCAACGTGCTGCGCCGGCCAGACAGCTACGGCGCCGCCGCCATGGACGAGGACTTGGACGCGACCATCCACGAGGGGATGCCGTACATCGACCCGTCCGCCACCGCCTCGCGCGCCTCGTCGACCGCGACGACGGCTGACCCGGTGGATGCCAGTAAGGCATGAGGCGGGCAGAGGGCAGGGGGGAAGGGGGGGGAGAGAGAGAGAGAGAGAGAGAGAGAGGGGGGGGGGGGGGGGAGGGAGAGAGCATGCGGAAATGTCGGCGGGGTCTCCCTCGCCAGCGGCCACCGAGGACCAGGTCGCCGGCGCAAGCCGTGTGTAGGAACTGAGCTAGTTGCGGCCTTGCGCGCGCGAGCAGGGCGCGGGAGTTTTCGGAACCGTCCCGCTGTTGACCCGTCTGCATGTCAGTGTGCGTGTGTATGCCCCGTGTCCGCTCTCCTCTCAGTGGAGGTGGCCAACCAGCTCGTAGTGGCGCGGTTCTGCACCTCTCTCTGTGTGTGCGGATCGGGGACGTTGTACATTTTCTTTCTACGTGTGTTGTGTGTGTCGTACGTGTATATGTGCCGTGTGCGGTCCCGCTTAAAAAGCCAAAAGGCCCAGCCGTATAGTGCGTAGATCGTAGAAGGTAGATGCCAGAAAACTGTAAACTCGAAGAAAACGGTGAAATTTAAGGCGAACGCCGAACCGAAAGGGCTTTTCCTTTTTTGCGGGGCCGGGGGGAGGAACGACATGCGGAGGAGCAGTTGGCGGCGTGGTAAGTTCTCTGTGTTAGTGCCAGTGCGCGCAGTCCCGTGCCCAGTGTCGTGCGCAGAAAAATCGAGTAAGGGGGGAATAACTGGCAATTCTCTTCGGTCATCAGAAGAGTCAGAGCAGCGTCCGGTTGGTCGGCTGCTAATGAAAGCGCCGGGCGTGTGCTGAAGTCTCTCGCCCGCTGGCCGCCACTAAAGTAGAAGGACCAGCCGATGGTTGCCACCACCGACCTCATCCTCGCCGTCGAGAGGGCTTTCCCCGCTCCCTCGCCGCGGCAGGTGGACACAGGTCGCGCACAGGTGGCGCCAACATCGGGTTGCCGGGGTTGGGCGAAGTCGGTGCCCGTCCACATTGGCGGGGATCCCGTCACGCTCTCAATGGTGGCGGTGCCTTCCGTCGCCGTTGCCGCGTCCAAGACGGCGGAGCAGCTCACCCACTCCATCCTCTTCTGGTGAGCGCCGCTTTCGCGGGAGTATTACCCACACATCTCTGCCTCGGCCGGCCCCTCGGCCACACTGTTGCGGTCCACGCCTCCCGTCGAGCACTCCTCCTCCCCGCTCGCCCCTCGCAGGTGCTCTCAGCACCTCGCATCGCTCATGGTCGAGTATGCGGCCGGCGACGCGACCGGCGCCTCCTTGCGGCGCGCGGGGAGGCTGGTCTTCCAGCGCGCGCAGGCCGAGGCGCAGGCGAGCCACCCTCGGCTCGCGTCCGTGGCTGCGGCGTGCACGCTCGTCCTCTGCGCCCTCAACCAGCGCCGCGCCGAGGTGACCACCTGCAACTCTGGCTCCTGCGTCGCGCTGATGGCGTCGGCGGCGAGTGCCGAGCCGATCCTCCTCTCAAAGTGCCACCGCGTGCAGGACTCGGCGACGGAGCGGGCGCGCGTCGAGGCGTCGGGCTGCCGCGTCGCGCACGCTGCCGATGAGAGCGGCCTGCCCTGCGGCCCCCTCCTCGTCTGGCCGGGCGGGCACGAGACGGCGAGGTGCATCGGCTCGCTCGGCAAGGGCTCGCGCGCGCAGCTGCCCCTCCCCTCCTGCGCCACGGTGCCGCCCCGCCCGCCCCCGGCGATCCCCTGCCCCGTGCTCCGGGTCGGTTGCCCGCCTCCTGGCCCGCCCGCCTCTGCGCTCAAGCCGTCCTCCTTTGCCGGGAGGTCGAGGGGGAGACCGCTCCGGCCCCGAGCCGGCTCCACCGAGCTGGGCAGCCCCATGTCGAGCGGCGTCTCGACGCCACCGCCCGCGTCGGCCTCGCCGCCGCCGTCCAGGATCATGAGCGCCGATTTGCAGGCGAGGCTGGCGGCGCGCGTGCGTGTGTTATTTTGGGGGGAGTAGGCCGGGCTGACCCGCGGGAGCTTGCTGCTCCTCAGGTTGCGGAGCCGACCGTGCTGCGCGTGCCGATCGACGACAACAACTCGCGGCACGGAGGCAGCCCGCCGCCGGCGCACTCCCTCTTCTCGTGGCGCCCCTTCCGCTCGCAGCAGGCGTGACTCGCCGCCGCGGCCACCCAGCCGCGGCGGCCAAAGAACGCGCCGTCCTTCGGGCGGCCATCTTCGCACCTCTCCCGCCGCCCCGCTGTGCGCCCGACCGGCTGCACCGGGGCCATCCATCTCGCGCTCCTGTGTCGCGCCTCGCTTGCTGCTCGCCTGCAGCGGCTCGCCGGCCTCGCTGCGACACTAGCAGGAACGCCATTGTGCCTTAGGACCATGTCTCATGTGTGCCACACAGTGAAACCTCGGATCCGATCCGATGTGTGTGTGTGTGCTTAGGGTCGCACAAATGTGCGTGTACACTTCTCCCGCTTGCCGTGTCCCTGTTGTAGTGTGCGTCTCGCTCTCGCTTCCTTCGGTGTGTCGCGCGCCGGCGTGCGTCCACTGCTAGTACTATGTCCGCATGCTCTATGCGCCCCGGGGGCGCCACCCGGGGAGTCTTGTGCGGGTGTATGTTTGGCATGAGTAGTACGAGAGTCTGTCCGCGGAGGTTACACGCACGAAAACCACACCGTATAGTGTGCGCATCGCAGGCATCGCATCGTGTGCGCGCTTCGGACACACTACGGACGTACTATATACTTGTCGATGCGGGGCTCACGCAAAGTGCGCTTCGCTCGTGTGTGTGTGTGTGTGTGTGTGCGTGTGTGTGTGTGTGTGTGTGTGTGTGTGTGTGTGTGTGCGTGCGTGCGTGTTGGTGTGCCTTCTAGAGAAACCAAACGCAAATCGGTCGGCACGCGCACACAGTGCTTTAACCTGGCGTCGGGGGGTGGCTCATATCGGGTGCTGATCCGTCCTTCCCATGGGTCCTTCCGTGTGGCTCGACCTCGGCAACCGGCTGCTCGCGCACCCCTTTGTCCCGCGAGCGCGTCTGCTGATTGCTCCCGTAAACTCTCTCTCCCGGTCTCGCCTCTGCCTCTCTCTCTCTCTTGCCCGAGACTCACTCACGGCTCTCCCCTCTCACCTCTCTGACTCGAGGAGACACAGTCTCTCGCAACGACGTCACGAGCGGTGCAAGGGCGAAGGGGAGCGGCGAAGGGAGCGAGTGCCTCCGAGTGGGCGGGCGAAGATGGAAGCTGTGACCTGCGTGTGCAGGGGGGCGCGCCCACCGCAGTGCCACAAAACCAAACAAACGTAGTACCGTGACTGGTTGTTGGTGTTCTCTCTCGACTCTCCCGGGGTCTCGCGCTTGCTCGTGTAAAAGAGAAAAATCGGGAAGGGGCGCGGCAGCAGGTTGTGGGCCTGGGGTCTGTGGGGACGTTCGCGCCTTCTGTAGGCGCCCGTGGGGACCCCGCAATTCCCTTCCCCCCTCGGAGGGCCGGACTGAGGCGTCGAGGGCCCCGCTCTTTCCCTCGCATAGCGGCCACTCTTCGGATCGCTGGTCGAGCGACCCGGGGGATGCCCCGCGCGCCTGACCCAGGCGCGAAAACGAATCTGCGAGGCGCGGCCACTCATGCGGCCCGATGGGGAGGAGCGGGGCGGACCACGGGGATCGGCTTCTTACACAGCCCCCTTCCCCGCAGCGAGTCCCCTCCAACCCACCCGCGCTAGGTCTCGGGCGGCGAAGGGGTCACTCCCGACGGCCTCGGGAACTAGCCGGGGCAGTCGGAGAAGGGGCAACTCCGTGCACTGACGGTCGGCCGCCAGAAAACACGCCTGCGTGGATCGCGTCACACCAATCCTCGCTACCCAACGCGGCCAAAGGATATCCACCTCGAGAACCTCGAGAGAGTAGCCCCGTTCAATTGAGAAACTGTCTGTCCGAGGAGGCCACCGGCCAAAAGCGCATGTCTTGAAGGTCCGATACTGGAAGCCCAATAGGCACCTTAGATCTACAGAAACTCGCTGTTGTGAACAGCGCCGCTCAAAAATCGACCTGTGTCTTACCTGTCGGATGTCGGCTGCTTACTGCAGCCTCTACGAGCTGCTCTTCACTCCTCGCATTGGCCGCGGAAAGCTTGAGCTGCCCGAGTCCTGCCGGCCGCCCCCGCCGCCGCTCGCGCCACCGAGTTTTCCGCCTCCACTACCGCCCACACCGCCGCCTCCGCCGCCGCCCTCGCCGTTGAGCCCAGACCTGGAGTGCAGCAGTCTTGAAGGGCGAACGGAGGCGGCCCGGGCGTGTTCGGACGTTCTGGAGTGCAACATGTATTACATCGTCGATTACACCAGCTTGGCGCCTGAGTGGAACCTCTGCGTATACGGGGCCCGTTCTGCGGGGTTTCCGCGAGGGTTGTGCCAAGCGTCGAGAGGCTTTTACGGGTGCTTCCCGCCGCCTCCGCCGCCGACCCCTCCGATGCCGCCGTCGCCGCCGTCGCCGCCGCTGCCCTCGCCGCCGCCTCCGCCAAGCCCGCCAAGCCCGTCCCCGCCGCCGCCGTCGCCTCCAAGGCACCCCCCTCCACCGCTGCCACCACCGCCGCCATTTCCGCCCGGCGAGGCGCCGCCGCCACCGCCAAGCCCGGATCCGTCCCCGCTTCCCCCGCCGCCCACCCCGCCCTTTCCGCCGATGCCGCCGATGCCGCCGCCGTCCCCGCTGCCGTCCCCGCCCCCGCCGCCGCCTCCAAGCCCGTCCCCGCCGCCGTCTCCGAGTCCGCCACCCTCCCCGCCAGCGCCTCCCAGCCTGCCGCCGCCGCCCTCACCTCCCGTCATCCCACCACCATTCCCGCCGCCGCCGCTGCCGCCGCTGCCACCGTCCCCGCCGCCTCCGAGCCCGCCGCCGCTGCCTCCGAGCACGCCGCCCCCCCCTCCACCGAAGCCGCCGACGCCGCCCCCGCCCCAGTCCCCACCGCCGCTCTCACCGCCCTCGTCGCCGCCTGCGTGGTACGAAGTGGCGTACCACACAGGCGTCATCATGACCCACGGCATGAACCACGCCACGCCGAATGCGCGGTTTGTCCTCTCGGCGGGCCTCACGGTCGCCGGCGGCCTCACAGGCGCTCACAGCCTGGCACACGCACAGCGCACCTCCCACACGCCTCGGCACTCTCTCCGCGCACTCTCCCCGCACACACACGTAGTACCAAAAGCTAGCCCCCCCACCCCCCCCCTTTTATTAATTTTCCCCCCCTCTTATTATTAAACAAATTATACTCCTATTTTTTTCCCCCCCCCCCCTATTATTTTTATTTAATTTTATTATAAAAAAAATCT